ACTTCCGGAGGGAAGTGGCCAAAAAGCGCAAACTGTGCATTGACTAGGGGGTGATTCCCCATTCTTTTCGGCCATCGTTCTTTTCAAAAACCAGCCATTTCCCCAGGGTTTGTGGTGGTTTTCTAGAAAGAAGGATCCCTGGAAAGAACGGGGAAGTTACCCCTAGAACTAAACATGGCTTTCCCAAAAGTATAAAGTTCAGACACCCAGGGAGTGGGTTAGAGAAACAAACCCAACCCTCACTGGCAAATACGCAAAACCTCATCTCGCGGCCCTTGCCAAAATGGAACCTCAAGACCACGTTCCTTGGTAAGGAACCTTCTGCTTGGAAGGAACAAAAACACCTCCAAGAGCATTGGTGGGTATTTTGGTACTATATATTCGCTCCTTTCGGAGACCTCCCAAATTGGAGCATTTCTTCTTTCCATGCACTTGCGCCAAAACGCACTGCTCTTTCAGAGGCCACAGATTTGCAGTGGTCCAAACTCTCTTCTGACCACAGGTGATGACATATCTTTTATCAACCCTTAACATCCCCTCCCAGAAATGGTTATGTGTTTGTTGGAGAGAATCTTTTCAGGTTGGTTTAAAGCCAATTTCCGTGGAGTGCCAAAAATAACTCCAAGCTTTCTATTTACGACTAAACATGGTTTTCCCAAAAAGTATAAGGTCCAGGAACTCGGGGGGGTGAATGGTTCTCTTGCAATGGCCTTGGTTCTTTCTCAAAGGAACGATAGTTGAGCAAAGATTGGGTGGTCAACCTAAAACTTGCTAATGCTCAGTAGAGAATGAGGGAATGAAGCCAGGGGTCCCCTTAAGGAAACCACCAGATGGATGGTTCTTCTCGGGGTCATTCCATTTCTCATTCCCTGCATCTCTCGCACCAGCAACAAAAATGTGGAGAAATGGCCATGGTTCAAAACCAATGGTACCATTTTGGGGTAGGTGCACCACCCATGTTAGAACCTATTTTAGTGGTTGGATTGGGATGTTCACCGGGGGTACCCATGGCCGAATGAGAAAGGGAAACCAAAGGGAAGCCACGAACTCCGAATTCCTGGTCTCAGGTCAGAGCCTGAAGGTCATAGCTTCTGATCCGCCCGAAGTTGTTCCCCGCTTTGTCCTGCGAATCGCGCGACCAGTAGGCGTGCTTCCGGAGACGAATTCCCGTACTCCAACCTAAACTGTTTGAGAGGAGATTGACGCATTTTGATCGAATGGTCCCTGTTGGATTCCCAGAGAGGCAAGGGGTCAAGAGCTGCCGCGTCTGCAGATCTAGGGGTTGATGGTCCTTCCTCTTTCATCTAAGAGTGAACCAGAAGAAGCAACCCCAAAGTTGCGTCCCTAGCCTCTCTTAGAACCAGCGATAGCATGGAATCATCGCTCTTCTCACAAGCATTTTTAGTTGTCCTTTGCTATGGCCAAAGAATACTGCCGGCCCAGTGCAGGTCTCATGTCTGCGCTACGATTTGACTTTGAAGCTATCAACAGGGTCCCCAATACTTCTGCCTCCAACCGAGAGTTCTAAATTTTGTCGGCGGCGTGTTAAACACCAACCCCCCTGCCAAGAGGAAACTCATCTGATGCTTGCTGAGTGGATTTGGAACAAGCTCCAAGGCTGCGTCATTTGCCGCCAAACTCGGACCCAACGTCAAAAAGTAGAAAGTCCGGGAACTCGAGGATTGAGTTCTTCGACTTCAGTCCTGGACTCCCTCCATCTCAATGAGGTACCGCCTGCCCGGTAGCAAGCCCATTGGCCGTGGCCGGAGCACCAGATCCTGGCATCGATCCGAACTGAAGATGACCACTTGGCCAACATCGTAGGCACATAGAAATGCCATGTGTTCTGACCATGCTACCCCTAAAACAAAAACCGGAGCAGAATTCAGAAGAGTACAACGATTTAGGGTTCTTGAAATGGTGGACCTCTTTGGGCTGTTTTCAGGGACTCCAAAAGGACACCACCCAGTTTAAGGGCTCTGCTTTGCCAACCTCACCGTGGTGAATTGACGGCCACACTGGGAGCCCGAAAAGAGTTTTTCAACCCAAGCTGATCGGCCGGGTCCTACACCTAGAAAAGACTCCCCATCTACCGGAAGTCCAAGCGACTGAGGAGCCACTCGGGTTCTTTTCTGTTGGCCAGATCAAATATTGACAAAAGGGGGCATGTGTCAAAAGTTGGACACAGCCAAGCGGTCTGAGGGGGAACGCATGCCCGATTTAGATGTTGAGAAGCAAGTGTGTTGTTTGAGATTCATCCGGAGGACCTTGATTGCTAATTTAGGGTGGTTCCCCTTTTGGTGGGGAATTGATCTAGTTTAGGGTTAGGTGCCAAGGCAGAGGCAGGTTGCCCATGTCAAGCTCAAAAACATGCGTCACGTGTGTCTTTTTGAATCCCCAGCAGGAGATTGCACGTCCCATCATATCTTATCCCCATTGAGATTGCCCAGGCAACCATGCATCATCATTATGCCAGATAATTGCAGTTTCCCGTTTTGTATGGGTCTCCCACTAAGGATTGCGGATGAGGATTCGGTCGTTCAGAAGATGGTTTCCACTAGCCCCAAATCTACTATCCCCAGTATTGTTGTGTTTCTTGTTTGTTTGGGGGGGGGGGGGTAGAACAACACACGCCATGTTTAATGCTGCTTCTTTGATAACATCATAATCAATGCAACAAGCTTCCTTTAAACAAATGACGGGTCGAGATCTTCATGCACCTTCCATGTTTATAGCGGTCAGGTGTGCACATTGCCAAATGTTTGCCCTGGAATGGGCACTCAAGACACGCAACAAGACACACTTCTGTGTACGACCCGCTTTCAGCAACCGCAAACTACTCGTTTCAGCCGGCCTTGCCCTGCACCATCATCGCCGCCTCAACGCTCTCGCCTGAAACGCCATCGAAAGCGGCTCGGAAGCACACCCCCAAGGAGGCCGTGGAAAGGGCAAAAGAGGCTATCGCTGCTACGTCCTCCAGTAGAGAGGTTAGAATAAGGGTACCCTTTTTTCTGTAGTCTATTTTAGTAGGGGAACCCTCCCCCAAAAAAGGGTAAGAGGGTACTACTGGCTGTCATGAATTTTCAACAGGCCTCATTGAGATCATCAAATTCACGTTCAGGGCTTAGAAACTTATCCCATTGGCGCAGGGATGGCCCTCCCAGGCCCCCGCTTGAAGGTCCATGCTTCCTCGCAAACCAACCACTGAGGTCCCATGCAGAATTCCTACCGGGGGCCCCGGCCGGGATGCCTTCAAACCAAGAGCCAAAAGTGGTTGGTGCCTGTGAACCAGCTAGTAGATGTGGCTGACCCACGTAATCCCCCAACCGCCTGCATCACAACGTACCAATTGAACGGCGCCCAAACCCCATGGGAGTTGGCCACGTTTCTACCTGGCTCCTGAAACTTGTTGCATTTAAAGGCCGAAAATGTGCCTGCGTAAACCTTCCCAACCATGGGAGAAGAGTCAATGGGTTTCCGGCACGGAGGTGTGCTCCCATCCCGCAAAAGGCACAGGGCGCTTCTGCAACGAAGTCTACAACCACTTGCCTCTCAGAGTTGTTTTCTATGGTTGCCTTCAAGAAGCTGATGAATGAAGCTGAAAGTTTTTTTTGTTTTGACCAAGATTCCTTGCTTCGCCAGTTGTGCTTCATGCCAACTATTCAGGGAAGACTAAGAGACATGTCAAGAACGGATAACAAAAATCAACCGGTCTGGTGCACGCCGGCCTGCAGAGGAGTTGGTGTCGTTGAGGTCGGAATAGTTGCCAGCTGACGGCGGAAGCGCGTCGTACACGAGACGGGACTCGCCCTAAGGGTCCTGGGGCTGAAAAGGGGGGATGTTTACCATGGGAAGCCTGGTTGCTCAAGCTAGACCCTTGCAAAAGGTTTGGGTTTGCGTTCTTTTGATTCCACCTGGTGTAGGGCTGGTTTCGGCGAAGCCAGAAGGACAATGCATGACTTGGTTTGGTTTTCAAGTCCTCAACAACCTCATGGTACTTTGAAACATTCAGGTAACGCGAGGGCCAATGGATAACCACCACAATGCGACATCTTGCCAACACTAGATTCCTTCAATGAAGTGAAGTCTCCGCCAAAAACTTGCATACAACAATAGATGTCCCCTTAAAGGGTCCCGGACCTCTAATCGTGCCCTTCTTTCCTTGTTGCTTTGGAAGGGTGTTCCTTTTGAATTCACCTGCCAACAACTGGCGGGTTGGTTTTCCCAAACCCACTAGAGGTGTGGGTAAACAGTGGCTTTAACAATCACAATTCGGAGTCATGGTTCAATTGAGATGTTTTTGTGCGGGGGTCATGATTGTAAGGGAACTACGGGGAAAGCTAAGTTGGCCTTGCCTTACCTATTCAAGTGGGAAACATGTTGCCCCCCTCCTCCGCTCCATACATTATTCTGTGTGATACACAGGGTACCTATGTTTATTTCCCCCTGGGGTGGTTTGGGTAGTGCGCATCTCAGAGGCTACCAACCTGTATCCTACAGATTGACGAGACCGCCTTTCGCGGGCGTTCATTGACTTCAGAGTCCGGAAGGTCATGCTGATCTTAGTCCGGACTCCGAAGTTCACATTCAACATCAGTCACGAGGAAACTCGTCTAAAAGTTGCAACCAAAAGGTGATATTTGGCTGTGGCTCAAAATTAAGCAAACAGGGGACCGCAGAATTTAGTTCATGTTGTCCATTTACCAGGTTGAATTTTGAGTACCCATTGACCCGCAGCCGTTTCAATAGGCTCAGGTGAAGTTCGGCTCAGCTCCCGGCGCAGCTCGTGGAAGAGGGCCCAGGCTTCATCCGCAAGCTTCAGCTCCTCCTGTCCATGGAAATCACCTGCGCCTGTGGTTGTTATGTTAATTTGTGTGGCTGTGGAGGGAAACCAAGAGGAAAACAACCCATTTTGGTGGGACCCCGTATGGGGGGCGGTTCTCACACGGGTGGATCCCCTTCGGGTTGCTAGTTGGAAGGAAAAAAACTGTCTGAACAAAGGGGGCCACAATTTGGCTGCGTGGGCAGTATATGGCCCAACATGTCAATGGAGCAACAACCCCTTGCCAAGACCTTAAGGGCATTCTGCGTGGGGAGATGTCCCGAAGGAGGGGGGTTGGGTTACTATATGCGCCACGATAGGCCGACAGAAGTAGAATCGAATTGTGGGATACGATCGAAGGAAGTTAGGCATGATCCTGAGACACTAAGCTGTCAAATTATGTGATAGCCCCTTGTGTTGCCCTTGCAACGATCATAAACTCCGACAAAGGCTTTCTGCTCAGACAAACTTCTGACTTTTGGGGCCCCAGAAAATGATGACGCCAACCAAAAGTTGAGAGTTTGCCAACCCAACAGGCAAGTACTGCCCTCCCAACCATCAATCATGGAAGCTGACGATTGGAGGGTTTTGGAAGACTGCGTTGCTTTTGGGGACGGCCCCGGAACCCACTTCAATCGTCGGAAGGAGGTCCGCGCCCATAGGACCTGCCAAGCCTCGCCATCTGGTCTTTAGCTCGCCTTCCCCCCAAGAATCCTTGGTTGAAAAACAATGCGGCAAACTGAGGAAAATGGCAGGAATGCCACCACCTTTACAAGCTGTTTGAAAGAGGTTCTACGCGCTCCAGCTGCTCTTTGTTGGCGAATTGCGGCGTATCCTTGAAGGGACTCTAACTTTGGATTTTTTCTCCCACCCGACAGGAAGGGGTTGTTAGATTTTATGTTGGAATCCGCGTTTGCCATGCTTCTACACCAGTATCCCGCCAGAGCAGCTCGCCAGAGCAGCTCGCGAGTGGATCCCGCCGAGTATCCCGCCAGTGGATCCTTTTTCAGTATCCCGCCAGAGCTGCTCGCCAGTGGATCCCGCCGAGTATCCCGCCAGAGCGGCTCGCCAGTGGATCCCGCCGAGTATCCCGCCAGAGCGGCTCGCCAGTGGATCCCGCCGACGTTTGAGTTCTCGAGATCGGCTCGCAGACAAGTGGAGTTTTACACACAGACAGATGGTGGATAAGGCTCTCAATGCAAAGCTTGTTGAGCAGTCATAGGCCCCAAGCCACTCGAAAACCATGCTTGAATTCACACAACCGTGTTCACGGTTGAAAGCTCATGACTGTGGAGAATGGGGATTGCTCGAAGCGATGTATTTTTTTCGCAGGAAAGATTGGTGACGAGAATGGAGATTAACTTTTCGAACCAGTTAGAACCCGGGTGGGTGTCGCTTCCGAAACAAGGCGGTGATACCCCAACTTACCACAGGGCACTTCTCGCACGGCCCTGATTGAACTGCCTGTTGAGTCTTGGCAGGGGCTGCAGCAAAATCCTGGCCCGGAAGTGGATCATTGAAGAGAGAATCCCTTACTCTGTTTAGGGAAACACGCGCTGTTAGCACCTATCTGTTCATCCAACAAATTGATTAATCCGAGGTCGACATAGTGCAAAAGGCCCTGCAAAAACAAGGTCACGCCGCCACGAACAGCGTGAAGGAATTTACAACCCTGGCAAACGCCCATCAGGATTTCTGGGCGTGAAACAACTCCGCTCCCGTAGGATGACACATTCGAAGAACCCGGCGCAAGGAACACTCTTGGCAAACTGCAGCGAACTATGTAATATGACTCACAGAACTGAAGCGTGTGTCGGAGTTTTAACAACAGTTTTGGAGCCTTCGGCGGGCCAATCGTAATTAGCAAGATGGCACACCCCTCCCCCCAATTCATCGAAGCCTCGACCAGCGTGAAAGGATGTGCAAAATGCGCCGCGCCGTTAGTCGCGGCGCGAGCAAAAACACTTAATAAAGGCAAACAAAAAAACAAAAAAAACAACCAGCGTAAACTACAGGACGATCATCAGAAGAAACAACGACCATACAGTGCATGACAATAATCAAACACAACCAACAAAAACGACAGACACCACCAATAACCAAACAGGACAGAAACACACCAACCAAAATTCAAGTAACTTCGGGAACCAGAACCAAACACACACAACAGCTTGACTGGGCCAACCTCTTGAACATTGTTCAACGTGCTTCTTCTGCGCCTTGCGCTTAGTATCTCCCAACCCAGAGGCTCCCGATTTTCAAACAACCTGGTTTTGAGACCCACACCTCCGGGGTGTCTAATGGAGGGGTCGGGTCTTCCGTTGAAAGCCCCAGGAGCCTCTGGGAAAACGGTCAACATGTCTGTCGCCCCCAGTCGGTTACGCCGCTCCGAGAAGAGGATGGTGAAGTTGGCGTCAGGCCGCCTTAAAAAGAGCGGGGCAAATCTGGGCTCGGCCTTGGCTGTCCGAAGTCTCAAACATGGACATGATAGCTCCAAACCCTGAGAATTCGGACATGGCTCCAAACATGATTCTCAAACATGGCTGTCTGTATATCTGATAGCTCCAAAGCCTGAAATAACACTTGCACCCAAGGACATACGTCCATACGTCACGGGGTGAAACGGCTCATGTTCTCCCTGAATCGGTGGAATCGACGCCCCCAATCATCCTCCCACCGAAACAAAAAGAGCACTGAAAAGCGGAATAACTCCAAACAACATACAATACCCTCTCTGGCTTAAGTCCCCTGGCTAAACTCTCCAGTCATGATAGTTTCCCTTTAATGCCAACCTGGGAAAATCAAAACCAGGTGATATCCCCAACGGCAACCTTGCGGAACTCTTCCGGAACCCTGACTGCACCCAGACCCACCCTGGAGCTGATTTGGGCCTATCGACCCCAAAGCTTCCAGTGGAACAAAACAGACAATGATACCATTTTGGGGTAGGTGCACCACCCATTTTAGAACCTATTTTAGTGGTTGCATTGGGATGTTCACCGGGGGTCCGATTTGGATTTTGGCCCATGGCCAATTCCGCAAATGTCTAGGGGTATCTTCCCCATTCTTTCCAGGGATCCTTCTTTCTGGCAAACCGCCAAAAGCCCTGGGGAAATGGCGATCCGTGTTTGAAAAGAACGATGGCTGAAAAGAACGGACAACTAATCAAACCCCCTTGCAAATGAACGCCACCCCCCAAAAACCTTTGGGACCACCGGACGACGGACGAGTCTTAGGCCAGCACGCCGGGGAAGCGCCCAAGCTGACGGAGCCGGGAAGTACCATGTAGGGCCTGTCCAAAAGAGGCGGGAAGAAACATCTTGACGCTCCGAGGTATAGTTTCTCGGTGGCGAAATCTGCGAAGGCCTGCTAAAAGTGACTAACTTTTAGTGGTTTATTACGGCAAACCCATTAGTTGGCAAAAAGTTAAAGTCCTAACATACAGGCAAAATGCACCAACGGTTTGTGTGTGTCTAGATATTATTTGTCATTTGCCAAACTTCAAACTGCGGTACACAAACGAACACGGTGTGTTTCCATTTAGCCAACCTTAACAAGCGACATATTGGAGAGGACAGCAGGGGGCGATTCAACTCCCTCAAACGACCTAAGGACTTGGGGCCAGGGCGTGTCCCGGAAACTCATTCCCACGCTTGGATTCCTGTTGGTTGCCATAAAATCCGGGGCCTGGCGAACCTCTTGCGGTTTGGCTGCTATGGTTTCCAGATGTTTTGTCAGCCTCATTTTCACCTTGCTTTCCCCAAGATGCCAATCAACCATTTTGTGTTTGCTATTCAGAAGCAACGATGGAGTGGGATAGTAACGGGCCTCTGCGGATTTGCTCACTCACCCAACATGGCATGAACTTCATCTTGTTGGACACCAACTCCTCTTCTTGAAGTGCAGGAGCCGAACTTGAACAACCACTCCTGGACTGTGGACCTCTTCAAGTTGATGATCCTGTTCGAGTAGCAGCACGACATGAAATGGATATGTCTAGTGGGTAATTCCTGCTCTTTCGCCCAATCGTTCTTCTCACAAACCATTCCTTTCCCCTGTCTTTTGGGCTATTATCCTAAGGGAAGGATGCCAAAAGAGAACGGGGCTGGAACGGTTGGAGTAACCCTTTCCCTATTGTGGGTATCTGTGTCCCTTTTAAACTAGCCACCAAAGAGGGAGGCTTCCTGACTTGCAGAGTTGATGCTCCGGCCAGAATAAGAATACGGGGCCTTGCCTAGAATCAAGAAACCTACCAATAAAGTCTAGTCGGCTCTAAGACTGAGAGACACTCCACTACCCTGGGCCAGCCACTCCCCAAGAAAACATGCCGAGTTTAAGAAGCTCAATTCAAGAGGTAAGTTCCCTGTGTTGCAAGACAACCTTCTGCGTTTCCCTATTCAAGCAAGAGCAAAAAAAAGCTACCTTAAAGAAGACACATCCTGCGGCATGTTTTCAAACAAACATGGTGAATGCACCCAATGTCATCTCCTGCACTGAAGAAGATAACGATGAATATTGACTACTCAGTCGTCCAGTGACCCTGGCAAAACGAGAAGCACCTTTTTTGGCCCAGGACCATTTTTAGCGCGGAAGGCAACCAACACCAAGGAGGTCAGGAAGGAATCCGCTCAACCACTGGCGTCCTACTCAAATGGGGGATTCTGGGATGCGTCAAAACTTGGGGAACCCCCAAAATTGTGGTTTTCCTTTCAGCTCCCTCAGCCTCCACCCCAAAAAAATGTGGCCTCGAAAACACTCAACCATATTAGCAATTTCTCAATTAAACTCCAGGCATACATCCAAACCTGTCTCTGACGCAAGCCGAGTCGCTGCGACAGGTAAATGTCCTCTAAGCCTCAGTCAGCACCAGGCAGTTGGCTTGAAACATGACATCATGCATGGGGGGGTTCTCAAAATAGCGGATCATCACCTTAAGAAACACGAAAAGGAGACATGGCCCCAAAATGGAGCCCGGGTAAATGGAAACATGGACTAACATCTGCGGTCCCCTGGTGGTTTAATTTTGACCCATGCCCACATCGAATCCCACTGACATGGGGTATTTCTCAGATTGGGCACCTCTGGGTGGTTTGTTTGACCCGCAAGGTAAGCGAAGGGCACTTCCTCCGTGAGATGGCTTTGCGCACATGCCGTATGAACCTCAATGCACCCGCTCATGCAAGCTCGGCCGCAGGGAGGCTTCCAGCAAGAAGAAAGCATCAAACCGCGTCCTTTGAACAAATGCGAGTAATGGGAACCCAGTTCATGAAGCAGAGCATGCTGATCAAGGGGTGCAAGCCATCTAAACAGAGAGCCATCACATCGGCTTGTGCGGGAGTTGTACCCCCCCCATTTAGTGCTTGAACAAGTCCGCCGTTTGCATCTGCAGCCCTCTCGTTTGCTGAGTAATAGTATGGGAATAAGGCTTCTTGCTTCCCGAGTGGATTGGCCAAAAAGTCAAAACTTTTGGTTTGGAGAAAGGGTCCACGGGCAGTTTCTGGCTTCCTCCCAACCCCCAACTCATTGAACAGATTGTTGCGACTTGCTTTACTCACAATGAATACAGAAGCGAACATAGATCTGGATCTGGAATCCCTACCTACGTCTGAACGAAGTACAACATGTCCGCAACCATAGTTCACGGATCCCACCGTAAGGCACCTTCATCCACTGATCCGGAATCGCCCGTTTCGTCTTCTATTAGTAAGCACGCCATGATACTGCACATACAAAGGCCACAGAAGACGGGAACCCTTCCCCACTAGGACTTCGGTTTGCCCGGTCTGTTGCCCGACAAACCGCCAGAGGGCAGCGAGTCAAACAAGGCGTGCCCAAAGCGAAGTGTTTTCGCTTTTGGTGATACATTGGCTTTGCCAACTCTCGGTTGCTTCAAGGACAACTATCAACACATTCCCTTTTGGATTTGATTTGAAGGAACTTTTATGAACTTTTAAGGGGAACCGAAGCCCAATTCACAGTCCCATTTCCCATTTGATAGATACGGATGTGGGTCAACAATAGGCTAACCCCGAAAGTGGAACCCTACATGGAAACATGGACCAGCACCCTATGGTCCCCTGGCTTAATTCTGACCCATACAGGGTCCGGCAAAGTCGCAAATTACCCTCCCACCAACTAACATAGCACCTCACAAAAGGGTCGCTTCAAGAGGAAATTGATCTTCCAGGTACCCTCCCCGCAGGTGCTATGTTAGTGGGAGGGAGGGTACCCATCCACAACTGAAGGCTGTAACTCGCCGACGGAACAGGTGGAATCCACGGGCCCTGCAAGCAAAACCCTCATGGTGCCCTCTTGAACCCTGGAAGGGAAAAGAAAGCAAGCGCCGTATATATCCGCTACATGTTTTCTACATATACATCAGGAGGACAACCGTTTATGCCTCTTGCTTGGTTTTGAAAGCCTTGTGGATCACCCTTGAACTTCCAACTCGTTTTGTGTGGCCTGATTTGGGCGGTCAATCATCACTCTCTTTTACATCTAAAATAACTTAAAGGCCTTGAAGTGCGAACATTCGACGGAGAATGACCCAGCAGCAACTTGGCAGAATTCTATCAGGAAAGGGCTGTGTTCTCTGAGAAGGCCCAAGAGGCGCAACTTGTGTAGAGAGACAAATATATCTTATATGTACATGGTGTATGGTGCATATGTATGGCATACACCACATTTTATGCTGACTAGCTGCAAGCCTTCCGGCCTTTCCGCCTTCATATTTGGAGATCACCCTATTTTGACACAGTGTCGAACACCGAGCCAAGGCACCTGTAAAGGACTCGAGGGTTTCGGCCAGGGCAGACTCCTCCATGCGCCGCAGTGACGTGTTTGGAGGGCCTTGTTGAAGATGCTCACTTTTTGGGTTGCATGTAAGTTTGGAGCGAGCGGCAATTGATCAGGTGCTTGGTTGGGCATTTGGCTTGTTGGTATGCTTTTGTAGTAGGAATGCAAGTTCCTTTGCACAAATCATATCCGGCAAACAAACGTGGCGCACGCAAAAACTGTCCACGATCTTCAAGTGAAAACCTCCTTTTGGGTCCCATGTAGTCTGAGAACCAAGTCATCACATTTTACAGCTTTACAGTGTACTAGGCCTTCCTAGAGCCACTCATGAAGCCGGGCACACAGCCACCCAAAATTGCCGCTGCTCAACTGGCCAAACCTCCAGTAGCCAAAGGACATCTGAAGGGAAGGAACTCAGTGAGCTGGCCATAAGAAAGGCAGAACTAATGCACTGGAGGTGTGGGCAGTGCGAAGGGCAACCTGAGGCACAATCAAGACCAAACGATATGAAAGTGGTCTACCCGAAACCAAGTACAGAATCAAAAAGGCGGATATCAGTACCTATTTGTGGAAAGGGCATTGTCCCTTGTTAACCTTCACGTTCTCGGGTTTTGCTAGCCACATGTTGCGGCTACTATCAAAGTCACCTTGTAAGTGATAGGTTCAAGGGGAACACCCCAAGCTGCTAACTTAGACAACCCCCAGAAACAGTCAAATCGCTCACCCAGTCACATCGTCTCCTGATCGCCAGGCACTTCTCCCGCCATCCTCAAACGGGCTCGTCGCACAGGGCGTGAGGCTCATGGTACCAGTACATGGTGAGGGTGCCCTTGGGGCCAAACAGGGGTCAACATCAGAGGGTGCTTGGATCCTTACGGGGAAATGTGATCTATGATTACCCTCCCTCCAATCATGGACACTGACGATTAAAGGGTTTTAAGACTACAATGACTACTTATTCCCTTTTGGGGAACCCCGCAGTGTCCACTTCCATGGTTGAAATGAGGGGATGGGTTTAAAAGGAACTGATGTGTTTCTGGAACCAGCTTGCCAGCGGCTGGCCCTACTGAAATCATTGGAACGCCACTGGCTCACGGAACAGTCAGATTCCAGCGGCTTTGAACCCTGCTCAACCCGATTCCATTCCCGGTTTAGCGAACTACAACAAAACGCCCTTTGACAATCCAGCTGCGCTGTGTGTCTTCGAGCTCGAAGAGCGAGGGCAACCCTACCCGTAGGGTATACCGACGTGTTTTGTTGCATCACCTGCACGCAGGCCGGCCCAAACACTTGGACCCCCAACACATCCCCGACCTCCCTGGCCCGCAAACTTCGCCAGCATCCCCAGCGGCTGGATGCCAGAGCTAGCTGGGATCCACCGGGCCAAGCAATGCTGTTGGGCCTTTGTACACACATAGCCTGGTTCACCCACCGTGATTTTCTGCAAAGGCAAGGAACGGTGACTCCACTTTGTTGGCTACCTGGACAACCATGATGAAGAAACCAATCCAGCCACCATGGAGGTGCAGCACCGCATTTTGTTTGGAAAAGAGCCCCTGTGCAACACAGCACCCGGAAATAAATAATCAACCTTTCGGGACCTAAAAGGGAACCCCTCTGGGGTACAAGGTAGGTCGGCTTTGGACAACCGAGCTTCCGTGTGCGAAGGGTACCGTCAAGTCTAGTCTGGTCACCTTGCCTACAGAGGGACTGCTGGATGCTAAATAGGGGGTCTGAAAACAAAATACACCCATCCCCACCTATGGATAAACTCAACAAGGACAATTAAGAGTCATTGGACGCCCAAACCAATGCTTGCCTTGGATCCTGATGCCCAACCTCTGAGGATCTTACGCTGTTTAGCTCCCTTCGATGCCCGCACGACCTTGATTTGAGTTGGGCATGGGTCCATGGTCCCAAGACATTCTCGCCAGAGCTCGCTTGAATTTATCTGACTTCCCGGTGATGCTCTTTGTTTATACACTCAGACAGCCTTCTCGAAAGAACATCACGTCCAATGGGAAGCAAGGCAATTGGCCACCTTCAGGCCGGATCCAGGAGTCACACCGGCCTGTGAGTGTTCTCAAAAGAGAGGCCGCCCAAAAACCATGGTTGGTTTCATGTGGTCTCTCTCAAATTCCCATCAAAGAGGGAGGATTCCCCCCCCAAACAAATATGCGCTGCATTTGTTCGAGACAATTCGGTTGCATCCTATCCGGAAAGGAAGCTTCTGCATGGGGCCCGGAAGATCAGTGACTCATCAGCGCAACCCCAAAAATGTTGCTTTGGTTTCCTTTTCCCTTTGCAACAACTCCATACAAAGGTACGCTAAGTCTAGCAATGTGAAACACATGGGGGCACAAGGCACCCCCTTGGCGCGAGTCTGAGGACCCACGCAGGAAGATGGTGTCATCCTGCGTCAAAGCCTCGCTGGGAAGCGCGCATGACTCTTGTCGGATCCAGATCCAAATGTCAAACTAGGACCCCCCAAACTTGTGCTTTGCGTTGGGCTTCTCTTCAAACCAAGCTGAAGCCGGGTCGAGCCTCAACATTCAGCCTTTTTGAGGCCCCGTTTCGTCATCTGGCCGAACTACTCTAATTCCCAAGCGAAACAAGCTTGAACCCAAAGGATCTTCATGGAGTAAACTGCTCATGTTGCCCCACGTCAATCCACCTCCACCTCCCTATTAATATATTAATATACATGGGTACATATTACAAATGAGGGATTGTTGGGTTCCACGTACACCTGCTGGATACTAATTAGCCTTGTGGGACCACAAAAGGGCCTTCATTCAGATGAATGACACGGGGCATGGAGTATTGGGGGTCGACGGTAAAAGGTATTGCGTTTTTTTTGGGGGAGGACCAATTTGTGGGGGAACCCTTTCTGAGTCCATGTTCATGGGCAACCTAAGATGTGAAAAGAGAAACAGGAGTTCTGAGCAATCAAAGCAGGAACTCTTTGACGGAGATGGGGGGAAGAATGCTCTTCCTGGCTTTCACATGAGCTCCCAAAACCGATTGTTTCCTGGTTCTACCAACAAGGTTATACAGGTCCATAATGACAGGCATTACCATAACCCATCTCGACAAAGATAGAACCACATGCTAACATGGCCAACGGGATTTTGGGCGTTCATATCTTCTCCTGTTCTCAAAACAATGCCCCTGGCTTCCGTGGTCCCTCCGGTTTCCAATTCGGACGGCCGTGATCCCCTCAACGTCGCAGGCGCCAAGAGAAACAAACAGCAAACACCCCCGTGATGCATCATAATATCATAATACTGCCATGCTGGGCTGTTCAAAATGGATTGGTCAATTTTAATCCCATAATCCCTATGGGAAGATTGCTGGAAATGGGCCAAATCTTTCCGTAACCCAAAACAAAGATCGCCTTTGAACAACGCAGCCAATATATTGCTGTTAGGGTCAGGGAGTGCCATGCGATTGCTTCACGAGACGGCCATGTTGAAGCCGCCCTATCTGACCTCCCGGTGGCAACAACGCTGCCCAAAAAGTTAAAGCTCTTGCAAGGAACCGGGCACATTTTACAAGTAGGTTAATATCCCGCCAACTGAGGGGGTCAAAAACGGAGCGGTGCTTTTGACATGGGGGTTGGTCCGAAGGTCCTTTTCATGGGATGACCTTTGGGGAAACCACCAAAAAAAGATGACTCTCACCACATGGGAAAAGTTACCCATGGTCAAAACCGGGGGCCGAAGGACCTCCGCATCCCTTCCTGCTTCCGGCTTCCGGCTGGGCGCCCCCGCGGCGGCGAAGCCTTCGCCGATGCCCTGCCACGTGGCCGGCCTGGGCGTCCGCGCTGGGAAAACAGCCCCGTGGACAACACGTGTAACCTTCGAATCTGGTTGTTGACTTCTTGCTCTGCGTCGGTTTGCAGTGCTTCGGCAGCTCTAGCTCGAACATCGCGAGCATTTGAGTACAAGTTGGCAGCTCCAGCTCGAACCGCCGCGGCAAGTGTTGTATACAAAGCTCCGGATCCAAAGTCGCAACTTTTCAGTACATGTGTAGTGCACAAAGAGCAGTTCGGCCGCTCCAGCTGGAAAGTCGCAACTTTTCAATACAAGTGTGGTCTACGAAGTACACTTTGGCGGCTGGCTCGAAAGTCGCAACTGTTCAGCATAAGTGTAGTATACAAAACGCATTTTGGCAGCTCCAGGGCAACTGTTTGGATTCGGCATGGCGGCTAATGAGTTGGCTATTGGGCATCGATCAGGGTATCGGTTTGGGCCCTGCAAATTTTGGATTCCCAAATTTTGGTTTGCGACAACAACTTGGAAGGCTTCTACTTCTACGGATGTCGTGCTTTTGCCTTCTGCATCGGGTTACAGTGTTCCGGGCCTGCAAAGAAAGCTAAGGAACGAAAGCGGGTTGTCTTTCTCGACCGACATTGCCATGGAACTCACCAGGGAAACGGCCCCTTCCGGAAAATTGTCTGAAACAAGAACCCCCGCGACGTGAAGGTTCCACGTTTGTGGATGGGAGCCAAAACTAGCTTCAACGCGCAGTTGTTGAGATACGGTTGCTTAAAACCGTTCGTTTGTTGAAACTCGATTGCTTATTCAATTATGTTGTTGCTTTCTCGCCACGGTTCTTTCAACACATTTCAACACACGGGCTTGTTCATGTGCTTTTGTGAGACCTTAATCACCATGTTGCTGGAACCAGCAGCCGCCGCTTCATACATATGTGCCGTGAATGAATGCAACACTCGCGATTTGTCCGCCATTTTGCTGCGCTTCTCTTGCTGTACCAATGAGAGCTACCCTTTTTAGCAGATTCCTACAGTCATGAGGGTGGTGAACCCCCAGGGCGAAAGACTTCGGTCTGGCTTCCGGATGAATTTTGGGGCCTCCCTTCTGCCCAAACTGGCAAGAGCATAATGGGTAGTTGTTCAGCAAATATCAGTTAGACCTTCACAAAAGGCTGGTTCAATACCTTACACCCTGAAAGGCCGCCGCCCCCCCAACCCCCCCTTTACCCCTCGCGTCTTGCAGGGCGGGCGGCAAGGTCTTCGCGCCGTAGTTCTTGGTCTTGCAGTGCCAGGTTACGCCGACATCAGGACTGTACCAAACCTCAAGGGCAGGTTGCAACAACGACCCAAAAACGATTTCTGCGCACGGAGAAACTTGGTCGGTGAAAGAAGATCAACAGAGAATACCCAAAGCAAAGGAAACTGCGGGAAATCGAAGGAAACCCAAAAAGCAATGGCAACCAAAAAGAAGCCAACAAGAAAAACAAAGACACCAAAACCAATGGGAAACCCAAGTTTCACCCGTAGCATCAGCCTCGGAGCAACCCTGAAGCAACCCTGAGGGAGGTTGCTGAATTGGCCCTCCTTTCACACTCCCAACTAGTAGAAACGTTGTGGGCCTTTTGCCTTTGGCTCGCACCGCGCACGCAACCATTGTGGCACGCCCCCTTCGTTATTGTCCACGTCCATTTGGGTTGCCTGCTCACAAGCGTGGCACTATATGCAAATGGAGGATGTACCCCCCCCCCCTTCCATACTTTAATATTCAAGAACTCACTTTGGATTGCTCCGGACCATACTAAGAGGAATCCACCCCTGAAATGCATGCTCCTCTGATTAGTACAGTCCGGACGAAGCCTGGGTGGCATTTCTTGGGGCTGCGGATGGAATTCCCTGAAAGGAAAACAGGGGGCTCAGGGCGTTCCTGTTTCAAGATGGACCTCGAGGGAACCAACTAGGGTTGCTCCCAAGACTAAAGAAAACTAAATAACACCACTCGACCGAATCGATCAATAAGGGTAAAACAATGAGTTCCCTAGAGGGAAACCGAAGACAACTACAGACACAACTCTACACTTGACAGTTGGTCATCTGTGTGAAGTACAAAGCAAATCTGATACACCGTGAATAGCAAACATGGGCAAACACCGGCCTTCAGAAAACAACTTTCTGTACGAGTATAGCAAACTGCCTTGCCAGGCTCAGATCCAACTTGGGTGCCTGGACCATTCAGAACGCTTTGTGCTCATTTTGGGAAAAGTGCACATGGGGGTACTTAGCTCTCAGAACCCATGTACCCTCGCCAGCAAATCTGACTAATGATGCGTTCCTGAAAGCTTCGAACCCGCACAAAACAATGGCAACGTCGGGAGGGCGCAAACGAAAGCTTGATGTAGACGGTATCCCCTCCCATACGCGCTTGAAGGGGAGGTAGTCCTTCCGAAACATAAGCCGAAGAACGCTGAGTGTTGAACAGGACGGTCGAGGAAAGCGCAGATCTTGCGGTTCTCTTTTTGGAAACATGGAGGCAATATGTGCCATTTCCCACCAACTCAGCGCCCTGGCATCATTGAAGCTGCAATTTCCTCCGTTGGCTGGGCAAAGATTGCCTAGGCCACTGGCAAGTCATGGAGCTCCGGCCATGGGACATTTCACTTCGTCTGGTGAAAGATGAGTGATCAGGCTGACTGTGTCTGGTTTGTCTCAACCGTAACTCACTGGGCAATTCAGCCCCCAGTGAGACCCCTTAGCAGCTTGGATTGTCAGCTGACCCTTTCTACCTCAGCTTCCCCCGCTCCAACCAATATGTTTGATGCTGGTCCATATGCTGTAAATGTTGACATTCAAAGAGGATCCCAGGGGTGTTCGACATCAAACCCTAGGATGGCGCCCATGGGAAAAGAACCCAAAATGGCTTCCACGTGGCTGTCAACAGCAGGCCACGGTCTTTGCCAACAGTCACACAGTCCCTCCGCAGCTGGCAGAGGATTGTGTCAAGAGTGATGCACTCTTAGAATAGTTTCACGCAAGAACCTCAATACGAAGCCGACCCACGCGAAAGGTGCCTCCAGAGACTGCTGCATCTTTGGTAGAAAAGTCCAGCCCTATACATATATGTTGTGTATATTATATATATATGCGCCGTGAAGAGGAGCCAACTGCCACTTTTAGTAGGGGGACCCATTCGCCTTCCGGGCCCCAGCCTAGGTGTTTTACGAGGTCGCCCCCTCGCCGCGCCCGCTGAGGCGCGGGCCGCCCACCAAGAAGAGGCCGCCCTGAGAGGTGGCCATGAGCTTCGGCCCGCGCCGCAGGCCGAAGGGCAGCGGCCCCTTCCGACTGACGGCGTCTGCCTCAAACGCGTCGCCGGTGACTCGCGAGAGGCCAAGTAACATGCGAGGGGAGGAGTAGCCGTATTTTTGGAGCCGTGGGTTTTTGTTGGGTCGTTCAAGATGATTGCTGGGGGGCTTTTGCGAGGGGTTCATATATGGGAGTTTCCTGGAATGGTGAAACCCAAGAAGGCCAAAGGAAGCCCAAAGGAAGCCTGCCATATGGGATTCTTGTTTCGAGAACCGCCCAAATGGACTTATAAAGCCATAGCAAGCCGCGTCCCTGCGACAGCCGCCTCAGGCGGCCACTGAACCGCCTGACACTCGTTGCACGTGATCTGCAGCAGGCGAGTTGAACCTGGCGAATCCGAGCCGCACGAAAGGCCAAAGCCACACCTCACCAGGCCCACTTCGGTGTGTCGCTGATTCTTTGGGCACCCACAAATATGTGTCGCTTTCCTTGTGGGTTCCCTTCCAAAACAACCAGAAAGGGTACCCGAAAAGAAGAAACAAAAACTATGGGCTCACAAATACCCTGAACTACCCAAAAATATAAAGTTGGTTTTGGCGGAGCTTCCAGTAACATGGTCCAAGTCCGGGACAAAAATATGGGTCAACCAAATGTGGTTTTCTGAGGAGAAACCAGCAAGAACCAGAGACCCTACAGACACAGGAGCAATAAGCCTTTTTAGGACCAAATCTTGCAGACAACTGGTTTGGACCCCTACATGTGGTTGGCTTGCTCGTGAACGCAGCCAAGGGACGCTATATGGGCGTGTCCAACAAAAAGGATCCGCCGCCAATGTGAAACCAAAAAGGGCTTTCCATGTCCAAAAAACAGTTAAACCCTTTCGGCCCTTTGCTTTATGGCGGTTTCTCGTTGATTTCCCAACGAACTCAAATCAAACGGGCCCCCATTTGTTCAAACACCCCCATAGCCCAAAACGCTCACTCAGATGGTCATGACGCTCTGGGGGTCTGGCAAAGCTGACTCACATTCACACCAAGCGAAGCTCAAACCGCCAATCCAAACCGATTGTACTCATTCAGTGCCATAGCACAGGGAGCCATTGCAGACTTGGGGCCATTCAGGACCAAGGGCCATGACCTTCCCATGGCTCCGGATGAGTATTCGACAATTGTAGATGAGGTGGGAAAACCGAACTCTGGTCTCCGATCATTCTTTGGAACATCCCATTGCCCACCCCCCAAACAAAAGAGAAAAGAGCCCGCTGTACTATGTGCATATGCTTGTATGGACAAGTCTGACATAAGATCGGGATATCCAAGTACAGGACGCACAGCGTGACTTGGTTGCTTTCTGCTCCCCTGCTAAGAAGTTTAACTTTTAGTGGTTTAGTGGAAAACCCATTAGTTGGCAAAAAGTTAAAATCCTAACATCCATGCAAAATGCACCAAAGGTGACAATCGCTGGAATCCCTCGACTTCCGACCTCCAGACTGCTTCACTGGTGCCGGGGGAGGCGTCCACCACGATGAGCTGCCAGCCTCGCAGTCCCGAGTGGCAGCAAAAACCCGGAAAACCGAAGCCGTGATGTCGGGAGTTGATGGCTCCAGGGGATCCAGCTATCGAAATATCATGATAACATATGGGCTAGCTATTTAATTATATTCAACCCTCCCAGGGAAGCTACACATTGCAGGGAGACCCTACAACCCAACAATCCCAGCCTCCAACCCTTTCACACCAGTCACTACGTCATAATGGGAACATATGGGAACCCAGGACCACACATCTGCTTTACAGTTGGTGGTATTTGAGTTGGCTCCCTGCTTGCGGGGTATGTCCACCAATCAGCTGCAATAACAGGGACCCTTAGAGTTGGTGGCGTTCTTCTGATTTCTCTCTGAAGCAACCCAAAAGAAGATACCCTCGGAAAAAGAGGCCCTGACAAAAGTACTTGTTCCCAAAAGAACAAGGGCAAACTGGGGCCGGCCCCCATGTCTTCCCAAAACCAACAGTAAAGGTCGGTTGCTCAAATGCACCACGGCCGAAATTATGTTCATGGTTCTCTTCAAAGGAACCTTGGCAATGATTGCCCAAATTTTTCAAGGGGTCCCTGACCAGCCCTAAGGGGTGTTTGCCTGTTTAATGTTCACCTGGTTTGGAGACAAACCAACAGAAAACAAAAAAAAAGAGCGTTCTTGGAGACCAAAAAAACAAACACAAACCAACACCTTGCTTTGTTGGGTCCTTTCAAAGGAATCATAGCGATGATGCGTGCCCGACTCGCTGAACATGCCTCCCAGCACGGTCATGGCGTGATCCCGGAAGGCGTCGGGGAACTTGGGCGGCACCTCTTGGCCTCGAGAAGGTTCGGACACTGCTGACCTACAGTACTGGTCTCGAACAATCCCCCTTTCTGTGATAGAGTTGGTGCACATGTCCACGGCGCAATACTACGGTTTCATGATCCCCTTTGCTTGCCCGCATAGAAAATGTGCCACAAGGATGTAGCAGCAGGGTTGTTCCACGACAACGTTATCCTACTTGATCGCTTCGGAGATCCCCTTGGTCACTCCCAGAAAGTGGTAACATGAAACCCGTTTCAGCTGTGGCGGCACTCCGGCTGATCTCAGAACCACCACCAAAACGGGCTGGATAGAAGGATTGGATGAGTGGAAGGGGTTTCTGGGAATACATCCAGAATGGCGCCGTGCATGGCAAAACCACATTTCGGCCAGGGGGGGAAGCGGAAACGGCGAATGGGGTCATGGAAGCTAGACGTTAACTTGGCGGCCCTCATGTTAGACGAACCCCAACCCTCGGGCTGCATTTGAACCATCTGGAGCTCACAGAAACGGTGGACATGGTGCAAATGGGGGAGGAGGCCAAAGCCCCCAGAAACACAGAGGAAGGGTTCTGCATGAATCTTGGAAGTGGGTCTGATGAAAGAGTTCTACGAACCTTCTGGGGCGTGGGGTGGCCTAAAAGGGAACTCAATGAACCAGTTGACAAATTTGTTACCCTTGGGTGTTGGTAATCTTTAGGCCAAACCCTGGGAATGTTTTGGTCGGCAGGTTTGACGCGTTGGTCGTAGATGGTGGGGCCGTGTCAAGCAAGTTGGTCTGGTTTCCCCTTCCATCATTTGGAAGGGCGTTTCGGGCAGCAATGGTGTCAACTCCAAGCTACCAATGCGCCTAAACGGTTGGAAGGAAGAGGGGTGCACCAAAAGCAAACTCTCCTTTTGGACTAGCTTGTTGGACAAATAATGGTGGAAAAGCCCCCTAGCGAATTGCATTGTGCTTTTCTTCAAACTTCTCCCCAAAAAAGATGTAGCGAGGCTTAGGGTTCTCAGTGCTGATAATGCCGATTTCCGTTCCAACATGTTTGCCAGTTTTGCTCGGAGTATCCGCCCAACCTAATTAAGGAAGCTGTCATCGATTTGGGTTGGCCAGATCAGATCATCGCCCAACGCTTTGGGTTCCCAGGCCGAAGGGGATGGGCGTGGGTCTGGGCACGTGGGACCAGGATCTGCCGATGTCGCACCTCAGGCGAGCGCGAGCCCAGCTCACCGCTTGACGTGGTGTCCCCTTTTCGTTTTGGTCAGAAGCCAATTTGGATTTTTGTTTATTAAACATGATCTTCCCAAAAAGTGACTGAAGCCCAGGAAAGTGAGTGGAGCTAACATCGTCTTGAAGATTTGTTTAGGCCTTCCCCTCAGCCCTTCTTGAAACCAACAAAAAAAACTACTTGCTAAGACGGCCAATAGGGATGTTGGGCGCTTGTCAGGTGGGAATGGGCTCAATGACTAGCATGTTATCCTCCCCCAAATAGGGGTATAATATATGTGTATATATATATATATGTATATGTATATTAGATACTCACTTATATGTCTCAATGTACAGTCCCTTGAAAGAGTGCTTGTGTTTCCACAAGCCCACGTCTGTACTGAGGGTCCCTTCCCACGATACGAGCCCGTGGAACAAGGGTCACCAATCTAAATGGGGGATATTTGAGGGCAACGGTATGTTGGCGCATGTATCCCAGACGCAGTTCTTTCCCTTTGATACAACGCCTTCTTCTCAACGACGAATTCTTCACAGAACAAGGATCCCCGGTATCACCGAAGCGCTTGGATAGTCTGGGGCTTAGCCAAGAGTTGAGTAAACCCCGGTTTAATCCCACCCCACCCCATTTAAGCCCCTTGTAAACCCTTGCGATTGCGTTTGCGAACTTTTCAATGGACAAACCTCACCCACCCTATCCCCCAAGGTCCCTTCAAAACAGCCTTCTCCCCGACTGCGACGAGCCCGGATAAACCAACCTTGCGGGGGGGAATCCTCCATGATCCGGATTGCCTCTAAAGTGGGTTGAGCGCAAAAGAGATCCCTCCCCAAGATTTGTCGATGCTGGTGGACGCTCCCTGGACCCGGGAAGAGGATGTTCCTCTTGCAAGGGGGACTTAGTGACTGCCATAGCCACAGGGAGGGTGGCAAAAACAAATAATCTGAACTCAACTGAAACCAACGGAATGCACCCGTTTTGAAGGTCTGCCAGAGCGTGAACCAAGTGAAGAATCAACCCGAGAGGCTTTCCGAACCTCTCTCTCTCTCTCTCTGGTTACATGTTTTTCTGCCCAAGCTTCTTGGCCCTTCGGGGTGCACTAAAAGCAAATACCTTCTTCAGGTTGTCCATACTGTGGATGGACGAAATCCATTTCGCACCACTTTGAAGCCATGGGAAACCATTTGTTTGTTGGTGTTGACAGGGGAATCATCATTCTAGGACTTCTTAGGTGGTGCAGGATTTCGTCCACCCACTGTATTTCGTCAATGAAAAACATGTACGTACTCTGTGAAGACCCCTCTTTCAGGCGAAGTGGCCGCAAACAGCCTGAGGGCGCTGCGTCTTCCACAGGGTGCCAGCATCAGAGTTACAGCGCCCCCCCAGGAGCCAAATGCCTCATGAGTGACTCACTTGGCCAGTGACCAGCCAACAAAAAGTGTACACTTTTTGGGCCACCACTAGTAAAAAGGGAGAGGCACCAAGGAAAAACGTGTAAAGTGTGTCCACTGGCTGGGTGAGGTGAAGGAATGACCCAAGGAGAATATCACGTTACTGATTTCCTTCGAGTGGAGCTCTAGTCTGAAACCATGTTGATTTCTTGCCGAGAACATGACCGCCCGGCCGAATCCATCTTCCAATCCATCGATTCGTACAGCAATAATCAAGGGAGGGCCGATTCCCAACTGGACAAACAGAGCAGTCCTGTTTATATGGGTGTCTTAAAATAGGGGACCCCTGGTTTTCCTTTTGCTTTCCCTGTAAGGCCGCAAAGAAAAATCGCTGACCCTCAAGCAGGCACACCAATACTTGTACCCGACGGTACCCTGGGAATGGGGATTGATATGGGTTTTTAAGCCTTCGCTCGCTTGAGTGGATGAGCCAAAAGTCAGTCCAGAGCTTTTCGTTTGGTCTTCCCCAAAAGTCCAAAGCTCAGGGACTCAGTGGACCCCCCTTGCGAAACATGAATTGGGGGACGGCAATTGACTGCAGGGGGACCCTGGATATACTCCCAGCCGCATCTTGGGAGGGAAGTGGTTTACGCGGTCCCGTGCTGGGTCTCTTGCCCTACCCTCCCAAAAGTCAAGGACAATCAACTATACAGTAACTCTTCCAGACTCTCAGTGGATTTTCATGGAAACAAGGCACCCCTTGTGGTTGGTGATTCGTGAATTTGAAAGAGCAATCCCCCTACCAAGAATTGAACAAATGGCACCGCTGGGTGTCTGAGGTATTGGCTTACTGGATGCGAGTGACGAAGAAAGTCAGACTCTTAAGGCAGATCCATCTCTGAACTGGTATGCATGTGAACCCCGGACCAAATCAACTGATCCGCCCCTGTTGTCAGAAGGTTGATCCCAATCCACTTTCAAAACCACCCTAAGGGTCATGACACCCTCCAACAAACAGAACCGACACTGGGGAGTTCCACGAAAGGCACCATTCTTGAGGACCCCAAAAGCGGTTGTCAACCTCAAACCCGTCGGGCATTGGCCCCGCATTTCTTGTCAAGGATCCGGCCCCTGCACAAAGTGACGACTTGGCGGAAGGAAACAAAGGAAACCCCAAGCCAAACCCAAGGACAAGGTGTTTACACACTCTGCTCAAAAGGACCGGGGAAATTGAAGGTTAACCTGGGACCTTGACTAAAATGGACCGGACATTTTTCAAAGGTTGCTTTGAGACATGGATGCAAAAACATTGGGTGGTCAGATTCCATGATATTTGTGGGGAATGTGAGGCCCATCCTTCCTTCTCATCCTCCTTCGTCCTCCCACCGGCAATAGACACAATCTTGTTTGGGGGCTTCTATTTGCCCGCATGAAGCCCAGTTTTCAGAGCCTTCATTGTCGCTATGAGTGACATGGAACTATAAGCGTCTTTTTCTTGGGAGAGCCATTTTGGGGGACTGGTCCGTGTTCTTTTTTCACGGGAGAGCGGGGATCTGTTCAAAGGATCAAACATGGAAACCGTCAGGTGCCCGTAAAACAGTACCATTACCTTCTGACAAACCTCGACACATTCAAGGTTCTCCATGGACAGGTGTCTGTTTACCAACTCACCAGGCTGGATCATGTTTCGGGGAGGGGAGTTGCCAAAAGCGCTCTTCTTGCTGCCGGAGGACAGAAGCCGCCAGAGCCCAGAAAGAGGCAACCATATGCTTGACAACCCATCATTTCGACCCAGGGTTCATCGACCTCTGCAAGCCTTTACTTGAGGGAACAGCCCTTCAACACTCCGGCAGGTCCATGAATCCGGGGTCGAGACAACACCAGGCTCTCACCAGGGTTTCCAAGTGACACAACAGGGGTCTGTTGACTTATAACTTATGACTATACATACTCATAACCTTCCTTCTGAGTAGTTGACACGTCCAAGAACGCCTTTTGCGACTGGGGCCTCGGGCACCCATTCCCATCCACAGAAGTGGGGGAGTGGGACACCTGGGCCGAGAAGAGAACCCCAAGCCAGCCGAGGTTTCTCCAAGGCCCCAATTTTTCGGCTGGCTTCCTTTTGGCGTCCCGACTTCCGACCAAAAGCAGTCCATGTTGTCTGAAGCCAGGGGGTTTGGCCACAAGGACCCCAAACGTGTTTTCTTGGATGGCACATCTTCAGCGAGGCGAACCTCCCCACTTCCAGGCCGCAAACCCGAGGAACGGCTGGATTTTATGAGCCTTGAAAAGGATGGGGGATCAACCCCTAGACTGGGTGACCGAAAGCCCTTCCATACAGCTTGGTTGAATCCCAAAAGGGGAAGCCGCTTTGGGTTGGCTTTACAATGGGCAACCCAAACTTGGCCCAATTCAGGGTACATATGTTCAGATGTTGTATAATATTTAGCAAAACTTCAAATATAAAGCCAACACCATGATGGTTGTTCTTTTGGTTTCCCTTCAAAACCAACAAAAAAAGAGAGTTCCCATTTAAAAGCCACGAAAAAACAACTAACATGAATCTGGTTTTCAAAATAAACGAAACAGAGACCCACCTCTGAGAAGACGCCAAGAAAACCACGCGAAGTCGAGCTGTGCCCCGTGCCAAGGGCACCAGCCGGTTGTGGTCCGAGATCACCCCCGTCACCTGCGTCCACTCCGCCCCAGTCCTGGAGACCTCGGTGAGGGTTTGTTTTTGTTTTTCTTTTCTCCGGGTGCGACGTGACGGGCGTGGCACAAGAATAACAGGGTTAACACACCCGGCCATGGGTCAAAACCCAAATCGTATGTGAACATCCCAATCCCCACTAAAATAGGTTCTAAAAAGGGTGGTGCACCTTTCCCAAAATGGTACCATTGGTTTTGACCCACGGCCGCCCATGCATAGCTCACAAACAGCTTGCTCACTTGGTCGAACGACCCCGGACTAAGAAGCCTCTGTTTAATTTTATATAGGGGCTGTCCGATTTGGTTTAGTGGGGATTCAGACCACTTCTGGAGGGGAACACCCCCATATTGATAGACAGGGGGTTATTAATCCGGGGTCAACATAGCCCACTTAGAACAGGGTCAAGCCACTTAGGGGGGACATAGTGGGCTATAGCTCACAATCCGCTTGCTGCCCAAGTTCAGGGACTGAAAACCTACGGCTTGCACAATCGAGCCAGCCCCGTTTAACATCCTTAAATAGCCATTGTAAAAAAAAAAAAAAACAGACTTGCGTTTAGTTTACTTTGAAGCGGCTGGCACTGCACTGGCTGGCTGTTTCAATGCGTTTTGCCCCCCTCCCCGGCGGCTTCTCGAAGCTATCACCGGCAGCTCCTTAGGTCTGGGCCCAGGTGTCAGCCAGGCACACGCCGTTGGAGATGCCCCCATAGAGGATCAAGGTGTCGTTCACAAAGTGCAGCATGGCCTGCGTTCGCTTTTCGCATCCCGTCGCGTGCCTTGTTTGTGCCTTGAGGGCCTTTAAGCGAAGTTGGGTCGGAAAACACCCTCAAAGTGCTCAGTAGACACAAGCCCGCACGGCAGCGACGGTGGAGCCCGGATGAAAATGATGTGCACCAAGGGGTCCGATCAATCAAACAACAAACGCGTCACCACAATTTGGTTGGATTTACTCCCCTGCAGATAATCTGGAAGGCAACACGTCCATGTTTAGAGGAATCTCCCTCTCGTGAATCCCGCTTTGGGGTTCCGTGTTAGTCTGCGGAGCAGTAGGCCCACAGGTGCCCTTTTTCGGTCAGTTTCCTCCTCAGAAGGTAGATTCAAGCATCACTTTTTGGCACGTGTCCATAAACAGTGATTGGTGGAGACATTTGAGACCCGAATGCGAATGATGTCCACCAGTCCAACCATAGTTTATACCCAGGTGTTTGAGACAAGGTGTCGGACATAGCTGTCATCATTGGTTTGGAGCATCTTATCCGTTGATATCAATGTCCAGCCACCGTGCGGGTAGGCTCCAAGGTTTGCAATCCAACGTAGGACATAGAAGCACTAAACGAGCTGGCGTTGCTTTGGTGTATCTCCTTCGAAACCGCCTGAGGGAGGGCAGGTTCTTAATTGGAGTCCTCCGCCGGTGGTAGTTTGGTACCATTTACCGGTCTGGGTCTGACACTATTTAGGCCCTGCATGATAAACATGTCTATGTCATGGTGTCATCCGTGGAGAAAAGGCTGAAGTGAATTGTTGGTTTACCGTTACAATCGTGTTCCTATGAAGTCCAAGAACTCAGGAAGCGAGGCTCTATCTGGAAAAGTGTATGTCTTTGTTGAGAGCACACATGCTGGGCTTGTTTGGAGGGGAAACAAAGGAAAACACATAGATTTGAGCATGTCTCAGCAATGGTGCGGCGATGTATAGTGCAGTCCTGACTCTGAAGATGGCAAAACAAATTAAACAAAATTGAAACAGGTGTTGCATCTGGAAAGAGCAAACAAAAGCGGGGCAGTTTACCGCACATAATAACAATCCACGGCTTTATCTGGACATAGCAATCAGTGGGGTGGTTTTCCAGAGCCGGTCTGTAGTCCTAGAAGTTGGATTTCCTTTTATTCAAGCTGAAAGGGCCCTCTGAAAAAAAAAAACGCTTTCAACACTCATATGCGTGTGTCTGACAACAGGGAACCCCACCATAGTTGGTTGCCTAATCCCGAATTGCGGCGTTCCTTTTTTGGGGAACCCATTGTGGATAATTTTGAACAGAAACCACCAAGTAAACCCACCCATTTTGAGAGTTCCCCTATCTTGACAAGCCCATTTGAGACACAATCAAAACGCGATATTGAAATGGCCTACCCAAAGCCATGCAAAGAACCAGAAAAGCGGATATCCGCACCCAATTCTGGCTGGTGCGGATTGTCCCTAGCCTTCATCTACTCGGGTTTTAAGGACGTGTCTTCTTTTGGGCAAACCATTTTCGGAGAGTAAAACAAAAGAGAAGCCATTTGAGACACCATTTTCCGGATGTTTTTTTTTTTTGACAAGCCCATTTTGAGACTCCCCACGCGAGTTGCCTCCAAAGCCTTTCGCTCGCTCCTTTCGGCTGGGGCTCCTGGCGCCCTCTCGGGGTGTGAACCGGGGACTGCGGAAGCTCGGGTAGCGCCTCTCAGCAGACAGCTGGCGCTTTAGGCTTGGGGAGCCTCTTGCCCATGGGCGGCTCAAAGCTGCCGTTCCTTTTGGCTTCCGTCAACCCCAAAAATCCCCCAAATGGCGCAACGGTGCTCCCGTTTTGGGTTTTCTCTTGAACAAGACTTACCCAAAAGGGGGGGGGCAACTCAAAAAAAGAGACAGACACGTGTCCCTCCCCTTACCCAAACTGCCGCAAAAAACAACAAACATCCGTGAGGGTCCATTCCCAAGGTCCCTCAAAAATACATCCAGGAATCCACTCCACGAGGATTTGGATCCTCTACATCTGCCAGTAAAGATGACGGAACTGGCCCAAATCTATCCAAGAACTGTTTGGCCGTGCTGTCAAAGGGAACCCTTTCCCAAACATATCGAAACAAAGGAAGCAACCCACTTGGAGCACTGCTCAGGAGCCGAGCCCTGGTGGCTTTGATCGGGCGCCCACCACCCCCCTGTTCGGATTGGAAACGCCTTCTACCCTGGAAGGGCGCCTTGGATATCCTTTTGCAGTGGGAGCTAGAGGGGTTTAGGTTGCCGGCCAGTTCCAAACATTCGAATCCCCACCCTGTGAGCCGGTCAAAATGATTTCTTTCCCGACCATGAGACATTTAGGGCTCGCCCTGTTTCTTGTGCGACATGAAATGAGCACCGCATGCAGCTAAGAACCCATGGACCGTGGGCAAATCAGTGCGTGACTTGGCCAAGCCGCACGTAGGGGGCCGCCAGGGCAAACTGAGATGGCGCGGTGTAGAAGTAGTACTCTCCCGACAGCCTCGGATGGTCTGAACGCAAGGAGTGAGCCTTGAAGGAAATGGGGGCCGCTCAAAACGATAGCAACCCTTTGGACGTCACCAACCACCCAAAAAACGAGGTGCTAAGCTCACTTCCCGAGTGAATAAGCCAAACAAAACGGCATTTTGTGTTGGCCACTAGAATGGCCTTGCCTAAAAGTATAAAGCCCAGGGACTCCGAAAGTGGGAAAAGGGCGATGATTAAAACAAAGCCCTTGCAACCGCCCACTCCTGCTTGGTTTTCTCTTGTTTGCGGTTTGCATGCTGAGTCCCTGGCCCAGGGAACAAGTTGCCGGCCTTAGTCAGTCGCAAACGATCCCATGCGAATCGCACTACGACGTGAGGGGACTCGTCTTGTCTCACCTACCCCAAGGAACTCGAAACAAATTCTCCGAGCAAACCCGCTGGACATGCCACCCACCCACGCACCTGCTCGACTGCACCGCCAACAAACACGCCCACGAACATGGCTTGACTGGGCACACGTGGGCCAAGTAGACCTCTACGAAGACGAAAAACAATTGCACAAGTTCCAAATCGCAAGAGTTGTACAGCGCGCCGGGCAACATGCTTTGATTGTCGCCCAGAATGTGCGCATTGTGGTCAGTTTTCGAGCTGCGCAGATGCGAACGCTCTGGCATGACTAGCAAAGACACGGACAGACCTTGGCAACAGCGGCATTGGGTGGGCGAATTCGAGGGACATGGCAAGATTCTGCCGTTCTGTTTCAAACATATGCTTCACAACGTGTAAACTCCTGATTCAGCAAAAACATAAAACAATGGAAATATTGAGAAACACTGGTAAACGTTCAAGACTGTAGAATGAGTGTGCCATATGCACGCCACACTGACGGCTCTTTTTTAGGTGCGGTCGGTTCATTTGCAGGCAAGGCTGCTTCCCCATCACCAGGCGTCTTTATGTTGGCGCTTAAAACTTACTTCATCGGAATGCCGCCCAAACGTTTTTTTCTTACCTGTTCAATGGTCTTCCCGAGCAGGAAGTCCGGGAACAAACTCAAGTCACAAAAGCGGCCAAATCTAAACTACAATGGTGTTTTTGGGGAAGTGAGTTTCCAAGAGACTGTGCAATACACCCTGGGAGGACAACCTGCAAATGACCCGGACTGGTCCGAAATAACATGGCTTCATCAGTAAGGAACACCAAGTAGGGCAAAGGAAATTGCTTTTTGTAGCCAAAGGAAACTGAACCCTACAAAGAATCCTGCCACAAACAACTGCAAACAACCCCAAATTCTGCGTGTCCCTGAAATTCCCGCTTGCCCTGGCCCAACCAAACAAACTAAGCTGGCTGCAAGGTCTCGGAACACGCCGGGCTCAAAGTTCACCGTTACCATGCGCCCATAGCCTCAAGGATATGGAATCCGAAGGCCTCAACTAAAGGAGCCGAAAGGCCAAGACACCATCTGCAGTTGTTTGTAACATTGCCAAAACCTGAAATAAGATTTGGAGACAAAGTAAAGGACCTTTGTCATGAGCCCCGGTTTCTTCAGGTGAGCCTGCCATGAGAAAACAGAAGCAGAACAATGGACGCCTACCGGAATATGGTTGAACCACCAAGGTTCAATGATCTAAAAAAGCTCCAACTGGACGCCCGCTTAAACTTGGTTACCCTTCCTCCCGCTAACAGGCACATGTGTGGAATGCTCACTTCCTGAGTGGCCAAAGAAAGTCCAAACTTGCTAGCCACTAAAATTTGGTCTTCCCCAAAAGTTTAAAGTCCTGAACTCAGAAAGTGAAGGAAGGCTTGCAGGGATCCCATGTCCGGTGCCACTTAGGCGGTCACAGGAACGGTTAAGATCCCAAATGACCTTCACTGTTTGCGTTGGTTGGCCAAGTAAAGTATTGACTGCTTGCGCTCGGAAAGGAAATCAACCTGCAAACATTCAAGTTTGGACTCGCAAGCAAGGTTCGACTTTTGCACGCCCGAAATCCAAGGGGGGTCGGTACCCGCGGGATTAGGTATATTTATCCAACATCCCAAAGTCTGGTCAAAGGGTGATGATGTTTCCCGAATAGGGGTTGGAAGCCTTCCATTTGTTCTGGGGGATTTGAAGGTAAGGGGAGAAATACAACTGATAGGAGTGTCTACCGCCCTCCCCTCAGAAGCGAGAATCCCCACACCTTCAAGCAACCCACCTAAAAACGCCCCCTTATGGATCTGTTGGAGTCGATAAACCCAGAAACGACACCCGCAAATCTGGGGCTATGTTTTGTAGCCTTGACCAATCGTTCTAGCAAACAAACATAGAATCAGGGCAAACAATAGAATCAGTAAGACAGGGACCTTCATCATGAACAATAGCGTGTCTTACCCCCAAGTGACCTCGCTATAGTTTGCCACATAACGTAGTGTAGAATTCCTTGCAAGTCATCATCCGGCCCCAAACAACCAGGATTCCTGCATTTCAGTAGCCATAACATGGAGAGTCATCCCATTTCGACTGGCCATCTGAGTCTGCCATGTCCAAACGCTCAAGACTTCCAACTGCACAAACCAGATGCGCATGTTGAATTCGACATTTGAACTCGGGGACTTAGTCACTTGCCGCAGAAACAAAACCAATGTTGGCCTGGTAGGACATTGACGGATAGACCAAAACGAGGGACACCCGAGCGGTCAAAAGGAATCTTCGCATTCGGCGACTCGGCCCCGGATGAATCAACCTTGCGGACGAACTGGGGTTGTTCAGATGTTGCCGATAGGCAGAAGGATGAACCAGGCTTCAGAAGACTTGGCCCAAAATATGGGGCACTTCTGAGGTTGCCGTCATCAAAGTCACTCTAAAGTGGCAAGTCAAAGTGACTTTGATAACCCCCAGAAACAGCCAAACTAATGAGCGTCATATGGCTGCGGGTCAAAAATAGATACCCAAAATGAAGCCCTGGTAAATGGAAACATGGTTTCGAAAACCTGCGGCCCCCTGGTGGTTAATTTTGACGCATACCCATCTTTAAACAGAAAACCGTTTTGGAGGCCCCAGAGATGCCGTTGCCTCGAGCCGGCGACCAGACAACAGTCGAGGAGTCGAGGGCCGGGCCGAAGTCGAGGGAAGGGTTGATGATGACCACGGCACCATGCACCAAGACCTAGCAACTGGGGGCGTTTCGTGGTTGAACCCCAAATAGCCTGGGAATACATGTCGGGGTTAGGAGTAGTAGGGCTAGGTATTAAGGTTCGGGGTTAGGAGGGTTTGTGTTGAGGGCACACTTCTTTTAAAGTTGGTGTGAAGCGAAACCAGGGGGCACTGTTTGCCATATGCCCAATGGAAGTCATGTAGGCCGGGCTATCCAAGCCAAGGATAAGTCAAGGATATGCGACTACCGGGATCCTGGAAAGGCCTCATTCTTATTCAGGGTTTAATGAATAGCCCTCACAAAACATCAATGCGAATTGCGCGCATGTGAGGTCTGCAAAAACCGCCCAACAAAGAAGGGCTTATTGTGTTTTGTTCTTTGGGTATCTTCCGTTGGTTCCTTTGCAGGGGAGGGTGGGTCTTAACAGTGCTCAGACGAAGCTCAGAGGCCCTCTCTGCCCAAAATGGCCCTGAGGTCACTTAACGAACCATTGCACAGTTTGCTGGGGGCCTAGCCAACCGGTCAATAGCTTGGGGTGAACCCCGTTTCTGAATCCCCACCGCAAGAATCCAGCTGGCTGAGCGGGCGAGGGGGATGAGACAGCAAAGACAAATAGAAAGTTGCATTGCTGAGCATTCGTTCTTTCCGGGGATCGCTTTGGCCACTGAATAGATTGTACAAGAGATCACAATACCTTTTTCGACCAAAACCAAAAGATCTTGCTTGTAATCGACTTAAAGCAACTCAAAGCAGATTCAAGAGGGATTGCGGGTCCCTTACCCTCACTTCCGGAGGGAAAAACCAAGTCCAAACATGTGCATTCCTACAATTTAAGACCAGGAACTCAGGAAGTGCGCACCAAAAAGGATGTCGCCAAGAGACGGTATCACATCCTCGCAAATGACGGACAGGGTTGCTCCCATGCAAACCGGGAGCAGGAAATTTGGTCAGTGAAGGGATCATGCAGTTCTCGAACACATATTGTCTTGGGTTCAGACCATACCTTTAGGAAACAAACAACGAACAAACAAACAAACAAACAAAAAACAAACAAAACAAAACAAAACAAAACAAAACAAACAAAACAAAACAAACAAACAAACAAACAAACAAACAAACAAACAAACAAACAAGACAACAACTACAAAAAAGTGTGAGCCTTCGCTGTAAAAACAACAAGCGAACCTCTCCGGAGAAAACTGCAAAGAAAGGGGCGTCTTGTTCAAAGCGATAGGGAACCCCAGAGCGAAAGGACAACAACGGGGTGTCTTTTTCAATAATGAAAGGGCGCCTAGGAAAGAACGAACAAAGGCTGTCGGTCCAGCAACGAAAACAGGGGTTGTCTGACTTGAAAACACAACAACATGCATATTGAGGCCAGGCAGCTACTTGGCCTGCCACTTTTGGCCCCTCTGCTCACAGCTTCCGCTCCGTGTGTTTGCAACGGGGGTATGAAAGCGCTCGGAGCTTGCACCAAGGATAACATGTCCACAGGCGTATCCTCCGACGCCCGCCAAGGGGTCCCTTCTATTTAGAGGAATCTTGTCTTCTAGGTCCATGTTGGGTAAAAGGACACTCAGCAAAAGTTGGCAACCCACAAAACCCGTAGAATGACCAAGACGGGAAAAGCAGAACGGTCCCCCTAACTCCTTGACCCGGGCGCTCGGCACTTGGCTTCCGTGCATAGCCCTCGCCCTTACTGGAGCTGGGCGTGGAGATCATGATGATCTCGTCCTGCAGGCCGTCGCTGATGTTGATGACACCCGCCATGTCTGCCTGGACGAAATCCGGAGCAAAAAGCAAAAACTCAGATCCGATCGAGTGGATTCGCCAACAAAAAATTGGACCCTTTTGCCTTTTTTTTTAAGAAAAAAAGAAGATGGTCTTCCCCCAAAAAAATATGTCAAGTCTAGGAACCCCGACAGTGAGACAGGCCTGGCAAAACAATCAATGGTGAACCACTGCAGCTTCTTCTCCTAGCTGCCCAGTTGATCGAACACCAATTGGCCATGTCAGTCACAAAGCAAGCCCAGGGAATGCTCTGATGAACATGGAACCCACGCACTCTTTTGTGGACATATCTCCGTAGGCCATCTTCTTGGGCTTGATGTTACGCAGGGGAGCATCCCCTGGAACCTCAACGCCATGAACCCGAGTAGTCGAACCAATCATTTGTCTGTCACTCGCCTGCAAAGCCTCGCTGAAGAACAGGGTGATGTTGCTGTTGGTGGCTGCTTCACCGCCGTGCTCTGGCGCCTGACGTTCGGCCCAGTTGAAACCAGTGACCCGAAAGGTAGAACAAAATGGAACCCTTTGTGGAGCTGCCCATATTTAGTAGGGAACCTAACAAAGAAGGGAAAAGGGGGTGAAATCCACTGCAAAACTGCGTTTTGTGGTTGGAACCCCAAAAAGCCTTTGAACAGATCCTGTCCTGAGTCATATTGGAACCCACACAAATCCTCGCCTTGTCCATTTTACCAGGGATCTGGGTGTCTCAAAATACCCTCACAAAACGTCTCCGTTGGGGAGTTGCTCGAAGGGCGCAGCTCCCAAACCCAAATTCACGCGCTTGTTTTCCCTGTTTCCCAGAGCTAAACAAATCAGGCGCCAACCCGCATGAATTAGGCACCACCCAAAGAGGACAATTCGGGTCACCCTTTGAATGGGTCATAACGAATGGGTTCTAAGTCATTTGCTAGAACCCACCTGGTTCTTTAAAGCATGCATACGGTTCCAACAGATGCGATTTTTTGCAGTTGCTCGCATTCTATTTACGCTTGGCCTGTGACCTCACTGCGAGTTGACTGATGTGTTTGAACCGGGCTTGACCATATGTAAAACTCAAACGGGGCAAATATCCAAGTCACCTTCAGCAAATGGAAGTGAGGCCTACGCCTAAGTGGTCCCATTGGATTAGCAGCCACAAGGACGTGTTTAAAACGAACCAGTTCAAATAACATATATCGAAAGCCCTGTGTTGAGCGCCTTTGATTTTGGTTCTGCCCAAATGGTTACGATTAGTATCAAGCCTTATTGCCACACCCACCAAACCAGGCAGTAAAACCACCTACCAAAATGGCCAATCGTCCCAAGAGGACACTTTGGACTGGAGCCAAAAGGCGATGATACAGAGCCACACTCATGATCGCTACACGTCCCCTTAAAACATCACAGCGAGACTCACCTGGAGATGTTAGAAACCCCTCTAAGAGGAGATGTCTGAAACCTGGTTTCAAGCTGCTCACCAGGCCTGCATGAAGATTTCCGGGGTTCGGCTGTCGTCTGGCTGGACCTGACTTGGGAATCCAGGCTGTTGCAATATGGATGCCCTCAGTGCAAGCAAACCAACCATACTCAACCACAAAACCATGGAGCATTCCTGTAAACAAGAGCTTTCCTTGAACCCTTACATATATTTAGGGCATCCGTACCCCCAATCAAGGTTCCAAGCTATGGGGTAGGCAAAAATGGGGGATGTTGATTTGAAGCAAATTGATTTACCCGTGGAGCGCCAGCACTTCCACCCCCCCCCCCTTGCAGGGCGCTGACACCGTGATTTTTTGTTGATTCCGGATTACGAAACCTTACGGATCGATTAGGGTGGGTTTCCCCCAAAGCAGAGCATGATTCCTTCCAAAATGGAACAGTCCCATGAAAGGATCTGCAAAATGTGCTCTAGGATTTAAATCCCCAAGCAAAGGACCTACATCATGGTGAGCTCGTTTTGCCTGCCGGTGAGCTTGCCATAAGAGAGGCAGACACATCACCAAGGAAAGATTCTCGACCCTGAGGGTCCCTTGGGTGAGGCACAGCCTCTGAGAGCCTTGGGTGGTCAAAGGTACACATACTTCTCAATTTCGAAGCCCGCAGCCTCCAAAGGAGACTGAAATACTGATGGGTTCATGCTTATGAACGTAAAGAACCAGCCTTTGGAGTGGGGCACGCAGATGTCTCCGTGAATGCACGCGGGCTGAGACATGCTTGCATCCGAACAACTGATTGCCTTACGTTTAGGGCGAGTATTGTTGATTCGCTAAATATTGCAAGTCTGGCCACTTGCAATATGGGTGCATGCATGTGTTTGTGTTTGTGTGCGTGCGCGCCAAAACAGGGCCCCCACAAAATGAGTAGCTACCGATTGGACTCTCGCTCAAACGACCCCAAAAGAGCTCAAGCACACACACACACACACCCACACAAACACACAAACACACAAACACACACACACACACCCACACACCCACACACCCACACACACCCACACACCCACACACCCACACACCCACACACGCACACACATACACACACACACACACATACACACACACACACATACATACACACACACACACACACAAACACACACACACACACAAACACACACACAAACACACACACACACACACAAACACACACACACAAACACACACAAACATACAAACACAAACATACAAACACACACACACAAACACACACACACAAACACACAAACACAAACACACAAACACAAACAAACACACACACACACACACACACACACACCCACCCACCCACCCACCCACCCACCCACCCACCCACCCACCCACCCACACCACACACACACACACCCACACACACACACCCACACCCACACCCACACCCACACGCACACGCACACGCACACGCACACGCACACGCACACGCACACGCACACGCACACGCACACGCACACGCACACACCCACACACACACACACACACACACACCCACGCACGCACGCACGCACGCACGCACGCACGCACGCACGCACGCACGCACGCACGCCCGCACGCCCGCACGCCCACACGCCCACACGCACACGCACACGCACACGCACACGCACACACGCACACAAACGTGCCGCATGACCACGAACATGAGGGCATCCTTCCCGATCCTTCCGCCAGAAACTGAAGATGTGCGTGACAACAACGCCGGTCAAAGGCTTCCCCACCAAACCCCCCACCAAACATACCATACCCTTCAAAGAAAACACCCAAATAAGGAGTAATGGATCAATAAGCCCGTGTGTCCTGGTCTAGGCCGCTGTGGTGCCGTGCCCCTGAGAGTAGTGGTTTCGGGGCTAGTGAGATAACGCGATGAAAGAAACTGCACATCCAAAAGCTAGGATACGAGAAGGGAGTAGAAGCATTTGTAGGAGGCAGCCACGAACCCAGAAGGTGTGAGCTAGACAAACGTAGGAAGGTGAAGTGGGAAGAGAAGGGACATGTCAAAGAAGCAAAGACCAACGAGTACAGGAACAACAGCACATAGAATGGTCCACATTGCTCACTTTGGGACCTTCTGAGTTGACTGGCTAGCACAAGTTTATGCATTGTTTCCCAAGACTAAAATAGCACCACTAGTGGTGTCTAGGATACAAAAGTACCTCTCCGGGGTTTGCTGTAAAGGGTGCTGTCTGTTGTCTTCAGAACGTTGGTTGTGGAAATAGACCTTCTGTGGTTCCCGAAGCTGGCTGCTTGGTTACTTTCAAGGAGATTCTATTGTACCGAAATTTAGCGCCCAGTGGCCCCAACACCCCATGTCCACAACCATGGAAATGAAGCAACATTTTACATGTTGCCTAGGTCCTCCAGTAGAGAGGTTAGAAGAAGGGTACCAACTTTTTTCCGTAGTCTATTTTAGTCGGAAAACCCTCCCCCACAAAAGAAACGGTAAAAGGGCACCTAGCTGGGGGACCTAGTTCCCCAACTTCTGTCTCTGAGACGCAGGCCCAGAACTCCCATCCGGCGTGCGGCAACAAGGGGCTGCCCTCCTGACAAACACGCCCCTTTCGGCCGGGCGAAGGGCAAGGCGAAACCCTGGGCTGCCATGCTGAGAGTTTCGTCTTTTCAGTTGCCCCGTTGAAATACCATCCAAAGAGATGTCTACCGTGAAATAACGACTTCGAGCCTGGAAAGAGTTGCTGTGCTGTTGGCGTATCTTTAGACAAAACCTAAGAGGGATCCCTCAAAAGGTCCAATATCCGTTGCAGTTTGGTGAAGAGGGGGTAGGGGGTCGCTACATTTCCCCCCGCGCAGGCGATCGAAGTCCGTTTATCGGTGCGCAAGGCTCGATACAATGCAAGGGTGATGAAATTCAACGCAGAAACAAAAGCGCACCTGCGCCAAGAAAAGGCCCACTTGCCCTAAAGGGGTTAAACAAACGGCTTCCTTTCAGATGCGCAGATCGACCCCCGTCCACTCGGAGCCTCGTCTCGGAAGACCCCCAAGGTACTCAGCTGCAGAGCGTGCAGATGGCCCTCCCGCAGGCCCGAGCTCACCAGCAGCGCGCGCCTCGAGTCTGGCGTTGAACGGCTCGAGTGGGTCCTGGGTCCCTGGAAAAGAGTTTTCAACTTTCAGGATATGTCATAAAAAGGTCTAAATGTCTAAAAGTCTAGGGTCCCGCGCCCTTTACGCCTTTACAGGTGGAACTAGGCTTGAACCCTGGGTAGTGTCCATATTTTGAGCGGGTGCGGATCCGGGCAAGGGGGAGGGATCAATGGGATCTCGGGCCATGCGAGGAATCCATGAGTTCAGGGGTGGCCCTGGTTGCTAAGGTGAAAATGTTGGAAACCCGAGAGGGACCAAAAAACGTGGCGTTTTCGCCCGGCACTCCAAAAACTGAACCACTTGTTGCTCGGGTGCTTCAAAGACACCATTGGCACACTAGTAGAACTTCCTTGGTGAGGGAAAGTAACCACAACCTTTCACCAGTCCCTTGTGGTTTGGCACGTCAAACCCCCTGGTCCCGGAGAGATAGGTTGACGCACGAGCAGCAAAACAACGCAATTGAGGTTCGGAGCCGGGATTATTAAAATGCATGGTTTCCAAAGACTAACACTTTGCTGGTTGGAGAATTCCTGGTCATTTTCTCAATGGCCATACATTGTCTTAAGGAACCCTCTCAAGAGTGGTTGGCGGGCATAAATTCACCAAAGCCAAGCTAGAAAGCGGCTTGGATGTGGCTTTGGTGGACCCACCCCTGCAGGATATTAAAAGAGTGGGCAGAACAGGTGAAAACAACAAAACCGCATCCAAACCGTTGTCTAGAAAAGAATTCACTACAGCTTGAGTCGTGGGGCCTGGCTTCGAACCATCCTTTCCGAGATGCAAATATCTTAGCCGTCGTTACGCACTTTTACTAGGCTCAAAGCCCTTTCACACATAGGTGTTTAATCCAGGCTGTAACCTGACATAAGGGTTGTCAGGATGGAAAACCTACATTCTTGATAGCCTGGTTTAGGACCAACCGTGTTGACCGAATCAACCTGGTGTTGCCCCCTCTATCTGTTCGCCTTGCTTTCACATTTGTGTGCGGAAGGGGCAGGATGCGCGAAGCTTCAAGCTCCCCGAGACTCGAGCCAAACCCTCTGGAAGCCAAGAAAAACGGTCAGGAAGTTCAACCCACCTGAAGCTCAACCCAGCTAGGATTTTAAATCCTTACTATTTGGGCATGAGCTTCGATTAGAGACCCTTTGGACATCATTTAGGCAGGGACTCATGTCCAGCAACCACTCTCAAGGTCGCTTCCTGTTAAAATGCATAGCCATTTGCGCCAAAACAATTAGATGTACCAACTGTTGATCCCCTTGCAAGGCCTGCCACTTGACCCCTTTGCGCCCCTTTCAGAACCAACAACACATCTCTGGATGTTTACATGCAGGTATATATATATTTATTATTGTTTGCACATATACATTATATATACACATATGTATTCCGATTGTACATCATACAAGACCTATATATATATATATGTCTTGTATTTTGTGCGAGCATGTCCATTTCCGAGGCACATGTTTCTTGGGTATCCCTGTGGACTGCCGCGTGTTTCTTCTCCATCGGACTGGTCCCTCCGCTGGGGCGACGGGCGATCCATCCAGCAGGATGTCCTTGCTGGAGGACACCTCGCCATGCTGATGGACGAAATCCATTTCACACCACCTCTAAACGCGGAAATGAGTCGAACCCCCTGTAAATACCAATGGTTTCGACCATTGGTTTCAACCTATGTGACTAGTGATAGTGACAAACAGAAATGTGACTAGTGATAGTGACTATGTGTCAACATTGGTTTCAACCTATATGACTAGTGATAGTGACAGACAAATAAGTGACTAGTGATAGTGACTATGTGTCAACATTGGTTTCAACCTATGTGACTAGTGATAGTGACAGACAGATTTGTGACTAGTGATAGTGACTATGTTTCAGCCATTTGTTTCAACCTATGTGACTAGTGATAGTGACAGACTATGTGACTAGTGATAGTAGTGAGCCATTTGTTTCAGTGACCTATGTGACTAGTGACTATGTTTCAACCAACCAGACTAGATAGTATGTGACTAGTGATAGTGACTATGTTTCAACATTGGTTTCAACCTATGTGACTAGTGATAGTGACAAACAGATATGTGACTAGTGATAGTGACTATGTTTCAACTTGCAACCATTGGTTTCCACCTATGTGACTAGTGACAGTGACAGACAGATATGTGACTAGTGATAGTGACTGTGTTTCAAATTTGTTTCAACCTATGTGACTAGTGATAGTGACAGACAGATATGTGACTAGTGATTGTGACTGTGTTTCAACATTGGTTTCAACCTATGTGACTAGTGATAGTGACAGACAGATATGTGACTAGTGATAGTGACTATGTTTCAACATTGGCTTCAACCTATGTGACTAGTGATAGTGACAGACAGGTGTGTGACTAGTGATAGTGACTATGTTTTAACATTGGTTTCAACCTGTGTGACTAGTGATAGTGACAGACAGATATTTGACTAGTGATAGTGACTATGTTTCAACATTGGTTTCAACCTATGTGACTAGTGATAGTGACAGACAGATATGTGACTAGTGATAGTGACTATGTTTCAACCATTGGTTTCAACCTATGTGACTAGTGATAGTGACAGACAGATATGTGACTAGTGATAGTGACTATGTTTCAACATTGGCTTCAACCTATGTGACTAGTGATAGTGACAGACAGATATGTGACTAGTGATAGTGACTATGTTTCAACCATTGGTTTCAACCTATGTAACTAGTGATAGTGACAAACAGATATGTGACTAGTGATAGTGACTATGTTTCAACATTGGCTTCAACCTGTGTGACTAGTGATAGTGACAAACAGATATGTGACTAGTGATAGTGACTATGTTTCAACATTGGTTTCAACCTATGTGACTAGTGATAGTGACAGACAGATATGTGACTAGTGATAGTGACTATGTTTCAACCATTGGTTTCAACCTATGTGACTAGTGATAGTGACATACAGATATGTGACCAGTGAAGTGACGATGGTTCAACCATTGGTTTCAACCTATGTGACTAGTGATAGTGACAGACAGATATGTGACTAGTGGTAGTGACTATGTTTCAACATTGGTTTCAACCTATGTGACTAGTGATAGTGACAAACAGATATGTGACTAGTGATAGTGACTATGTTTCAACATTGGTTTCAACCTATGTGACTAGTGATAGTGACAGACAGATATGTGACTAGTGATAGTGACTATGTTTCAACCATTGGTTTCAACCTATGTGACTAGTGATAGTGACATACAGATATGTGACCAGTGAAGTGACGATGGTTCAACCATTGGTTTCAACCTATGTGACTAGTGATAGTGACAGACAGATATGTGACTAGTGGTAGTGACTATGTTTCAACATTGGTTTCAACCTATGTGACTAGTGATAGTGACAAACAGATATGTGACTAGTGATAGTGACTATGTTTCAACATTGGTTT